CAGATCAGGAAGACATTGTTCCCGAGCCCGTTCCGCAGGAAGACGGCGAAGGGGACGCCTGAAGACTCTGTAGTTATATTTATAGCTTTTATTTTTGAGTTTCTTTTTTAGTTAGTTTGTTCTTTTATACTTTGAGCACGTTTTTGGTTTTAGTGTAAGGGATGTTAATCAAAATTTTTATTACGCTTCTACATTTGATTTTTTTAATACACATATTTCATTTTAAAATTCCGGGGCCGTTACATTAACCATTTCATATCAAGAGGATCAGGATCTAGAATTCGATCCACAATATGATTGCGAGTAAAACGTTCAGTTTGTTTACTTTTAAATTATTTACTCGGTTATTAGTTATTATTTTAGAATTGTTATTCTCGTAAGTCATATTTGGTACTTTCAGTTATTGTATAATGAATGTAAACCCTAATTATATATTTTGTTTCCGCACTAAATTTATAATTTGTCTCTTTTGGAGTTCTGAGGTCGTTACAATTATTACAGTTGATCATTTTATAAGCATAAAGATTTTTACTTTATGTACATTATCAATTAGATTTAATGAACTTATTACTCAATTTATTGATGTATTAAATGGTGACCAAATCAACTTTTATTTCCTGATGAGTTATTATAATTCTATAAAAATAAACATTATATAGTGACAGTAGTTAATACCCAACTCACCTTTTGTTGTTTCTCTCCAAATATATTATTTTTGGATATATACGTATATATTCTCTCCAAATATATTATTTTTGGATATATATATATATATATATATATGGACCCATCCATTCTGCCGAATTTTCTGAATATAATTGACTTAGTTTTTAGAAAAAAAAAAAGATATTTCCCAACTTAAAAATATGTAGGTCTAACAATTAAATATTTAATGTAAAGATTCAATCATTTATTTTATTTAGTACGTCATAATTATGTCATGAATTAATAAAATAAATTTAATTAGTATTAAACAATACATTGAAATTGAATACATACATATATTATATTTAATCAAATCGATTTATTTATATAATGGTGTAACAAAAAGGTCAAAATTATCAGCAATTTGAATTTTTTTTTATTTAGGATGTTTTTATTATTAGATTTAATTGGTGGAAAATAATGTCATAGATTTATTTTCTTTGTCCATTAGAACAAAGAAATTAAGGGCATGTTTGGATCCGGATTATTAATTTGCTTTATTGGTCAACAAAAGTATATAATTTGAATTAAAAAATTAAACCAATCTATAATTAAAATACATAATATATATGGCCTGAATCTCAGTATATAATCATAGTATATAGTTGTCTATTCCTATACAACAAAAGAATCGGGCCTTCCCCTATTTAAAAATTGTAGCATTTAATGGGCCAAAATTTAGGCCCACTAGTACTCTGAGCCTTAAAATTATAGCTTCTTAAAAAAAATATATATATATATAATTTAATTTTTCTGTTATTAATTTATTAATTTTGATAAATAGTTTTTTATTTTTAAAAAAATTAAAATTGAATCAATAAATTAAAAGTAATATTCTTTATTATTAAAAATTTAAATAGCAATAGTTTAATATTAAAACATAGGCCAAAATATTAGTTTAGTACCTGTACTATTTTAAAATATTCAAATTTGCTTCTACGTATTTTTTTTTTATTACTATTTTTAATTATATATTTTAATAAAAATTTTATTTCAATCATTGGCCATTAATAGTGTTAATATATGTGTTGTTTGAATCCAAATTTAGCACGTGAAATATTTTAAATAGATTGTCTTATACGTTAGATATCATGTGTCTAATGATGTGACATCTGACATGTTAATGTTCAACTTTTTATAAATAAATTGATTAATATATATTAAAAGTGTGTGTATATATATATAAACATGATATATTCTGAAATTTTTAACTATAAATTTTATTATTGAAATTTAATATTGTAAACGCTATAATTTATTTGGATTTTTTTTAATGGTCTAATGACCTTTATCATTTTCGACTCTCTCTTGTGGCTCCATCTCCTCATTCGTCGTCAAGTCCACTATGCTCTTTTTACTTATTGGTGGTTGTTTCTCCAAACTTACTTGGGTTTTATTTACCATGCGGCCAACGTAGATCTCCGTCATATTCTTATAAGCTAGTGGCATAACTCATTCATTACGACACTTTCTCATTTGTTGATGGCTCCATATCCTTATGGTATTTTATATGCACCATTATTTTAGATATTTTTTTTCGTGCTTGATTATATATCGTCTTATTTACTGGTTGTTGCTTGTTGCATTTTTGTTCAACATTAAAAAAAAAAATGTATTTAAACAATTTAAATTCGTAATTAATTATATTTAAATATAATAAAAAATTTATAGTCTCAAACTTTAAATAGTTATAATTATTATATTCAAAAGGTTAGAAATCATTCAAAATTTTAATGAAGGTTTATTTGTGAATAATCATAACAATTAAAAACACAATTTTTGTACTTTTTTTATTAAAAGAAAATTATAATCACTTTTAAAAATCAATTCAGATGCCATGAAATTGTTTTGGCTCCCCAACACACATTTAGACGTGATGATATTAAATATTCATCTACCGACACCGACACCTTTATTCTCATGCCACTTGCCGTACTTAGATGTGCGGGTCCCACTAGCCTACAACATCCCTGCCACGTGTCTTCATTTATTCAACTCTCAAATTTATGAATTATGATAAATTTATATAAATATCTTGTTAAAATTTTTTACCCTGCCAATAAACGGAAAACAACAGTGGGCATTTGGTCTAGTGGTATGATTCTCGCTTAGGGTGCGAGAGGTCCCGAGTTCAATTCTCGGAATGCCCCCTTTCTTTTTTCACATTTGATTCCTTTTCTAAACTAGAGATGATGACGTCAACCTTGAGAATAAGCGGCTCTTGTTTGAACACGTGTTCAACGTATACCGGCGCCAGAAATCTCCACCAAAAAGCGCGGACGAAAAGCGCAATGCGGGCCCCACGCACTACGCTTTTATTATTATTATTTTCCTTATCTCGTGTAAGCGTTTGAAATAGATTGCCCGATGGGGCACGGATCATTTTTATATGTCTACGTGTGTGTGTGTGTGTGTATATATATGTGTATGTATATGTTCGAGAAGACTACTTTTGTAGTTACGCGTATGAACATGATGATGATGGTGGGATTCGTTAGACAAACATGCATGACATGACATATGAACATGATTAATTAGTTAATTAAATTAGTTTAAGATTGTCAAATATTTAATTAATACCCACAAGTCAAATCTTTTTTTTTAAAAAAAAAAAAAAAACATTTATAGTATATAATATGGTTTTACCTATTTTTCTCTCTTAATTTTTTGTTAATTTAATTGAATGTATCATTTTATTGTTATAATTATTTTTTTTGTTGCTATTTTAATTGTTAATTGTGATTATGATAGTTGATGTAGTATAAGAAATTACTATTAACAAATAATAGTTAAATAATAAGTAATAAATGATAATCAAAATAATATTATAAATATAAAATATTAAATTTTTTTACTCGAAATTTAATTAATTTAGATTTTTAAATTTTTGATTTCTTAATAACTTAAAATTATATATATACATATATATATATATATATTTGTTTAAGAGACACAAATAATCCTCATCTATCCATCCAGACAGTAGCAGAGGCGAAATCTAGATAACAATATAATCCATTCCCTCGCCCAATCCCCTCATTCCACGTGTCCAAAAGCAGACTCCTGTCACCGTCACTCTCCCCTCTCACTGAATAGTCAAGTCTTGATCTTTCCCTGTTAAAACTCCTTCACCATTCCTCCATTTTCCCTCTGTTTCCTTCTCTTCTTTCCCAATCGACCAAACAGAAAACGCAGAGATGTGCAACAAGAAAAGCCCTCCTCCAAGTCACGATCACTCATTGCAGAGGAAAAGACACGTTAGTCTTCGAAACAAGAAGAAACGAAGAGGAGGAAAACAGTCCCTAAACAACGCCGTTTTAAAGAAACCAGCTCGTAAAGCAAGAACCAAGACGAGGAAGCCCAAGTACCTCAGTCTCAAGCTTCAACTCTCTTCTTCTTCTTCTTCTTCTTCTTCTTCCTCTTCATCCCCCGCACAAATACCCGAAAAAAACATCCAAGGTCCACAAGAAAAGCAGCAGCTTGACCTGTTTCCTCTCCACCCAGAAAACCTCGTGGAAGAGAAAGAATACTACTACAAAGACATTAACAACAGTTCCCAATACGACGCCGTTCCAGCCTACTGCATCTTCGCTTCCTCCGTTGATACCACCATTAACGACTTCCTCGATTCCACGACCTCCTCAACGACGTCGTACGAGGGCATACAAGTAACAACATACGGGGCGACGTACGGAGCGGACCGGCAGCTGGTGCGGGCGGCGATGAGGGGGAAAGAGAGGCAAGTGAGTGAGGAGGAGAGGTGGGTTTGTTACTCTGAGGTGGTGGCGGAGGACGCGGGAAGTGATAGATTAGGATGTGGCGGCGGTGCAGGGGAGGATGATGGGGAGGCGAATCGGACGTTGGAGAGTAGGAAGAAGTTGGGTTTGGCGTTGAAGCTTGATTATGAGGAGATCATGAATGCTTGGTGTGATAAGGGCCCACTTTACATTGATGGAGAGGCCCCACAGACTGTTCCTGATCTTCATGGAAATCCTGCCGTTGATGCCAATGTAAGATGCATCTCATCATTTTCCTTCAATAATTTTTTTTTAAAAATTTTTCGACATATAAATATTTTTTTAATAAAAAAAATTATATTAAATTCGGAGATATTGCTTGTATATTTGTGTCAAATTGGCTTTTATTTTACTATTAATTTTTAAAAATAGACCATGTGCTAGATAAATAATAACTTACAATATAATAATTTAATTCAAATTTATTTATTTTTTTCATTTTACTACTTAATTATATATAAAAAATATTTTTAATATAAGTAATTTGAAAATTAAAAAATATCAAATTTTAATTTTAATTTTATTTTTTGTGGGTAATTATTATTTTTATTTAAAAAAATGTGGACAAAAAAGTGGAATAATTAAGGGTGTGTTTGGACTGGTGGTTGTGTTGCACTTTTTTTTGTAAGGGACCCAATTGGGGAGCTTTTGTAGTTTTAGCCAGCTGTGGCATTGGTCCATGAAAAATTGACACCTGACGCCAGCATTTTTGTTGGTTTTTGGAAATCAATTCATAATTATTTTAATCTAAGATGAATGTATAATTTAGCCAAACAGGACTTAACATAATATATATATTGAACTTCTAGCTACTTTCCTATATACCCTTTTTGTCTCTTCCCTTTTTTAGGATAGCAGAAAGAAAACCCACTCTATAGATACTCCTTGACTTTCATTTAGTTGGTTTCAACTAAAACATTTGTAAGTATGTAATCAAATACATCTATCTTAACACAACTTTATAGTAACTAAACACTTCAATGTATAATTTAATTCGAATTTATAATCTATAGTAAAAGTAAATCGAGCATATTTTTATTTGAACCCGAAGCAACTACGCATTCTAATACTCTGAATTACAGGACTTATCCTATCTTTATTGACCCTTATCTTAGAAATATTTTATAAGAAAGAATCTTTTATTTGTTCAACTATTTCGTATTGAGAATATATAAAAAAAAAAAAACGTATCAATCATACAACTAAAACTTTGATGGTCATCTAAATTGGATGTAGTGATTGATGGATCCAAGAATTTGATGTGTTTGGAAGTTATGAATATATATATATATATGTAATACAAATGTGTTTAATATGCAGGTTGTAATGGATGGCTATTGGGGAAACAATATATGGAGGGTGCCTGAAATGGAATTGAGGGTAAGTGAAGAAGAGAAGTGGAGAAAAGGACAGAGAGAGGCAAGTGTATTGAGGTACAAGGAGAAAAGGCAGAGCAGACTCTTCTCGAAGCGGATTAGATACGAAGTTCGGAAGCAAAATGCCGAGAAACGACCTAGAATAAAGGTATATACATCTTTTTTATTTAATTCGTACACAAAATACTTTTAATT